GTTGCACTCCATATGATGTTATGAAAATATGGGAATGAGTGTGAATATAATGTAACTGGATTATGCTTCATGCAAAAGGTCTCTTGTTAAGGTATGATTACAAAGCTTATCTACTGAGTGTGGTCATCCTATTTGTATGTATCATTCTTGTTTCTGAAACTAGGAATATAAAATATAACTCTGAGGTCCTGTTGTAATTATGCAAAGTGTGGGCCATTAATGGTGGTTTAGAATCTTGATGGCTCCCATCAACTAGGACAATTGACTGTAGATGGCTCTGTTCACTTGCAAGTCTTCCTGTGAGTCAGGCTGGGGAGAATGAAGGCTTGGGGTCTTACAGGACATGTGACCATGTCACGTGGTACCAGAATCCATCTTTAACCTGGTGCTTTTCCATTTAGAAGGAGAGGTGGGGACCCAGAGAGACAAAAGATTCCCGCCTTGTGCCAAAGCCATATAAGGGGGTGGAAGAGAACAAAGGGGCTGCAGTCATGAGAAATCCCCTAGCTACCACCTGACCTGGAACAAGAACTGTACCGGGGAAAGGATTGGGCCCAGACTAGGAAGGAGTCCAGTCTGTGAAAGAAGCTTATTGGAACATCTCTGAGGGTGAGATTTACCTGCATTTAGTTTCCTACTGTATTAGGCTTAGACTTGCGTGTTTTGGTTTTATTTTGCTTGGTAACTAACTTCATTCTGTCTGTTACTACTTGGAACCACTTAAATCCTACTTTTTATATTTAATAACATCACTTTTGTTTAATAATTAACCCAGAGTAAGCAATTAATTCCTGGGGGAGCAAACAGCTGTGCATATCTCTCTATCAGTGTTGTTAGAGGGCGGACAATTTATGAGTTTACCCTGTATAAGCTTTATACACAGTGAAACGGATTTATTTGGGGGTTTGGATCCCACTGGGAACTGGGTATCTGGGTGCTAGAGACAGGAGCACTTCTTAAGCTGTTTTCAGTTAAACCTGCAGCTTGTGGGGGATGTGGTTCAGACCTGGGTCTGTGTTTGCAGCAGGCTAGCGTGTCTGGCTCAACAAGACATGGTACTGAAGTCCCAGGCTGCCAGGGAAAACAGGCTCAGAGGTCGTCTCAGCACATCAGGTGGCAGTCCCAAGGGGTTTCTATGACCCAACCTGTCACACCCCCATTGCACTTAAAATACTAAAATAAAATTATTAGTGTTTCTTTTCCTATATTAGAATTAATGATTATATTGCAGTGAGTAAAGAGGGAAAGCAATTCATAGAATCAGTAATTACGGGTGTGATGAGCCTGCCTCTGACATCGCTTCTTAAAAATTAATTGCATTGTCTTTTGCTGCAACAAAATTGCTTATTTAACAGTCCCTTTCTGTGTATGACTGTTTCTGTATTTCCAATAAGGAAAAGCAAATATAAGTCAATTTGTGCTGAACTATCAAAAATAATAATAATGAAAACTGGCCCTGCATTCAGTAGAAAAGTTGTATATGGGAGGAAAATAGAATTGGGTGTGTAGTTTGCTAATACACCTGCTTTTAAATGTGGCTCATTGATTAATGGCATTAGAATGGTAAGGAAATTTAAAATTCACTTAAAGATGTATTTGTTGGAAAGCCAGCTACAGTAAGTCCATGGGTGAGCAAAACACTCTGTGAAAGAGAGTTTTATGCTACAAAATCATAACAGAATTAGAAGTTCAAAAAAGCAAATGAGCATTGAGGATAAGATAACTGTCCCTTTATCTTCCCCTTATAAAAATAAAAGTTTATTTGCCCTTTAAATGGGCCAGTAAAATCAAATTGGCACCCTACACTGTGTGCTGAATAGGTAATCAGAAGTCTTAAGCTGCAAAGAAAGAAGTAGGGAAGCTTTAAGAGATGAAGATATTCTGAAATAATGTAGCTTATCAAGTCACTCTGTAAAGTATTAAATATGTAGAGTTGTAGTGAGTAGACATAATTCAGGAGAAATAAAAGATGCTCTTTTTCTTTTAAGACAAAACTAAATTCTTTGATCCAACAAATGTATCTAAGAAAAATAGAATTACAAGTATCAGGTGAGAGGCAGTTTCAAAGTAGTGAATAACTGTCCTAAGATGCTCCAGGCTGGCAATATCCTGCTGTTGATTTTTAGGCATCTTTTGGCATAGATGCTGTCATGTACCCAATCTGCCCACAATCACTAAACAACTTCCCTGCTCATAATACCCATGCCCATAGAAGTGGGGATGAGCCAGTCAGAACACAGACACAATTTAATTCTACTTTTTAAAATGGCAAGAGAGAGAGAATTTGGCTGAAGAGATGGGGACTACATGGCCTAATCTGAGAGATGCTCAGCACCCACAGATTTGAGCCAAGTTGTGAGTTTTCAAGTACTTCTGAAAATCAAGCCCTGCATATCCTCTGTTTGTGAAATAACAGAAACAAGGTAGTTTGATGGGAATTCTAAGGCATTGGACTTTCAAGATCAGGAACTTAAATGTTGCTCTACAATGAAGGGGAAAAACAGGATATTTTTAAATTTTGTTTCTGTTGGTTTAGTATTTGGCAGCTTGTGAACGTAAACCAGTTTTCTTGCAAGCATTCATTCTGATCAAAAATAAGAACTGGTACCCTAAGTCAGGCAGGTTTCAGAGTGGTAGCCGTGTTAGTCTGTAGTTGTCTTTGATACCACGTAAATCTATGGAAAATGTTTTTCTGTAGTTCTTTGGGCATATATATCAATTTCTGCTGAAACCCTTTCAGAATCAAAATTGCTGCATCAATGTAGCACTTAAAGTGTTTACCTGACTAGGTTCTAGCCGTGCACTTATTGCCATGGCATCAGGAAGGCTGATGATAACAGAACTATGTTGGGATGACAATGGGAAAACATATGTTGGGTACAGCCCAGTTCAACATTATTCATTTAGCAGTAGTAATCTCGGCAAGATTCACACCTGCCAAGTTGTTTTAAGGTTTATGTCATCTGTAGGTTGAATCCACAAAAGGATGACATGATGATACACATTTGACCAGGTCTGATATTGTAGCCAGTAGAGGGCAGTAGCAGTGCATTCACATTGTGGGGTGACAGCATATTGCTACAGGGATTGTATGTCTATGGTTGTTTACATTTTGTTGGGCCCCATCCCCAGAGCAGAGAGAAGACAGAAAGGGATGGTGAGGACCTAACAGTTTTCAGATTTCAACAGCACACTTCTTGCTTCCCTGACCAGAAGAACACTTAAAAGAACAGGGCATTTAGCACAAATGTATTCCTTTAAGTGTTCTCTACAGTACATGATCCATGAGAATGCATTAAGGGTCTGAGTCTACAAGGTGCTCAGTCAGTGGAAGGTTAGGACACTCATCATCTCACAGGATCATGCCCAAACTCGCTAGATTTTCTTATAGCGTTGACATAGTTTAAGCTGTTACAATGATCCTGATACTGTCATAATTTCTGATAGAGCCTTTATTTTTTCCCTTCTTTTTGATACACTTCCATTTTGCCTGTAACTCTGTTTGTTTTTATTTGTTTCTTCAGCAGATACTTTTTATAGCAGACTTTCTGTTTTTATTTCCTACTGGTACATAGTTTAACAAAAATGCATTTTTGTTAATGTGTTAATTCCTGTGTGCATCATACCCCTAGGAATAAATGCTGGTTGTACTGTGGTTGCCTTTGTATCTTTTCCTTTTTACTGCTGTGGAGGCTTTTTGAAAACCTTTTCTTTAAAGTCGGTGCTTTATTTATTCCTTCCTCTTTTCTCTCTAATAGCAGCTGCTATTATTTGCTGTTGGTATCCACTTTTGCTCACATCCATTTACAATGGTCAAGCTCTTAAAAAAATTCTTTAATGCCACCTATATTTTTGCATCTAGGTCTCCTGGAAGAAAATCAAATGCTCACAGTTGAGTAGCTATTCAAGGTGTTATCTATGCTGCCTTGTCAAGGACCTGATATTGGGGAGAGTCCTTTTTAAGATAAACAGGCTTTAATGATTCTGAATGTTAGCATTTGTGGTCAAAATGAATGTTTCGGTGTAGTATTTTGGAAAGCAATATATCTTCATGTAGAAGACCTGGCTTCTTTTATATGTAATTCATTTCCCTTGCATCTTGCTAGGTAAAATGTGTGGCTACTAGGCAAGAGTGATGATTAGGGGTGGCTGAAATATTTGTGTCTCATCTGCCTGGTTTCAGTTTTCAGAGTAGCAGCCATGTTAGTCTGTATCTGCAAAAAGAACAGGAGTACTTGTGGCACCTTAGAGACTAACACATTAATTTCTATTTCCCCATGTTAAGTATCCTCACACCTTCTTGTCAACTGTCTAAATGGGCCATCTTGATTATCACTACAAAAGTTTTTTTCTCCTGCTAATAGTAGCTCATCTTAAGTAATTAGCCTCTTACTCCACCTTTTCATGTTCTCTGTATGTGTGTATACATCTTCTTACTATATGTTCCATTCTATGCATCCAATGAGGTGAGCTGTAGCCCACGAAAGCTTACGCTCAAATACATTTGTTAGTCTCTAAGGTGCCACAAGTACTCCTGTTCTTTTCAAGAACATGAAATAGAACATGCAGTGTAGCTCAGAGATAAAGGGCTTGTCTATCTTGAGACCTCCTCCTCTCTCCAGGATAGTCCCTAGAGGCTGAGATTAGCTGGAATGTTTGAGTTGACAATCTCTGCATTAAACCTTGGGGGATGAAGGCAGGTGGGCTCAGAGCAAGTACTTCTGAGCAGGGGACTTTCCACTCTGGAGCTTGTTACTTTCCTTGGGCTAACCAATTTATAAATAAATTGGTTAGTCTCTAAGGTGCCACAAGTACTCCTTTTCTTTTTGCGAATACAGACTAACACGGCTGTTCCTCTGAAACCTTTCCTTGGGCTGACACTGAACACTTCGCAACCAGAACTGCAATTTTTCCTTTTTTCCCCCAACCCCTCCCATTGATTATATAACACTGCTTCATGGTGGTTTCATATTGTAACATCTCTGTTTTTTGTTTGTTAGTTTGTTCACAGTTTTCTAGAGGAGTTTATGCCATCTTTGGATTCTATGACCAGATGTCCATGAACACACTGACATCATTTTGTGGAGCTCTGCACACTTCCTTTGTCACACCCAGCTTCCCAGCAGATGCAGATGTGCAGTTTGTCATTCAGATGCGGCCAGCGTTAAAAGGAGCCATCCTGAGTCTTCTGACTCATTACAAATGGGAAAAGTTTGTATACCTCTACGATACAGAAAGAGGTAAGAACTGTCATTTTAGGAGGCTTTCCAATATCTAACTTGCTGGAAATATTGATGTCAAACAATGCATCCATGGTTGGCTTTGAACACAGGTCGTTCTTTCTGATTGATTGTCCTAGAAAACAAAAGGTTCAAATATGTTTGCAGGAGGAATAACTTACTGCTGTAAGCATCAGTTTTGGAATACCTGTGTTCCCTGGAACCAAAGGTTTAAATCCTGATAGGGTTGCTGACATCTTCCAAGTAGGTAAGGTAAACGCCATGCAGTTTATTGTTACACAAGACCTACTTTGCACTGGCATTAAAGATCCCATAGTGCTTTTCATAACTGTGTGCTTTTTCCCTGAAATTGGGCAAAAGTAATGCATGTTTTCCCACGTGGCTACCAAACTGCACCCCAGAGGTGGCTGCACTTCAGTGCTGTGGTAAGCATATAATTTATTAAATGTTTTTTGGTCTTTGGGATGAAAAGTACTACATAGATGTGTAGCATAGAGTGTCAGAGAGAGACTGGACATGTACATGGATAACAAGAATATCTGGAGTTATGATAGCTAATACTAAAAATAAAATGGAAGGGATATTAACCTCATGCTTCAGGTTTTAAATCAGCCTCTAACTTTTATGAATTAGGATGAGCTTTTTCATGGGAGTGGGAGCAGATTATCCCACATCTGTCTGTTGTAGGGGTTTCTCTGAAATATCTGGTGCTGGCCATTGACAAGATACTGAATTAAATGCGCCACAGGTCTGATTCAGTATGGGAATTCCTATGTAACATTTTATTGTAATGAACTAGTAATGTATATGTGTACCACTGCCCTCCTTTGCATAGATTCAGAACAGGTAACTGTGGGCCCTATGCCCTACATGGCTCATGGAGATTCTCCTTTAGTTTAAATAGCAGGGGATGTCACTTTTGGAGCAAAAGGATCTGGGTTCCATCGTTGCCATGAAGTTCTGAGGGGCTTGGTGTATAGCAGAGTGACAAAGGGTCAAGTCCCAAGAGGCCACATTTGACATGTTATTACTAAATGGATTTGTGCAAAGTTTTCATAATGTTTGGTGCAGCTAAAGGTTGAGCAGACATTTTGTGTAGACTAATATTTTAAAAACATGGGTCTGAATGTGCAGAGAGACATAAGGGCACTGATAGATTTTGGGAAGCATAGATCATGGTAAAGTTAAAATGTACTACAAATCTGTGAGATCAAGTAGAAATACATGGAGAATTAAGAATTCTCTGCAGTTGAGAATGCTGGTAGTTTTGAAACTTCTGACAACCACTGGGTCTCTGATTTAATTCAGTGTATGAAACTACCATGTGTATTTTTAGATGAAATCTTATGTGAAGATAATGTCATTTATCACAGAACCAAAGGAACAATATCAACAAATGATCATTACAAAATGGTATTTAATATTTTCTAGGGTAAAGTGACCTGAAAGAATTAAGATGAACATGTTTTACTCGGAGAAAGAAACACATTATTGCTCCAAGTTCATGATTAGCAATGGTTGAAAGTCAAAAGGTTTGGGGGGTCGATTTAGTTTGGGAAGTCATTTATATGTGTAGAGCCTTCTCTAAAACCTTTCTAAGCTCTAGGGCAATTACTACACCAAGAAAAAGGGTGTATTTTAACAGGTTAGTTAAGTGAATACAAGGCAAATTGTTGTTTTAACATGAGTTGGCTCGTCACGGTAAACTGTAGGAGAGGTTCTGAGATTTACCTTGACCAGCAAACACACATTAAAACTACAACTGACCTTGTCTTTGCAGAGATTTTAAACATGTTAAAAACACACCTTTTTCCTAGTGAAGACGAGGCCTAGGAGTCTGGGTCTGGCTCTGTTATGCTCTCTCTCCCTACAGTTGTCATGTTGGACCGAGCTCTCTGCCTCTTCATTCATATCATCTTAATAGGTCCTTACAGTTGTTTTTGAAGATCCCATTATGAGTCCAGCAGTTCTGGCTAGCGTGGATTTCATATTTCATGTACCTTGGGGGTACGCACATGAAAGCATGAGGGAAATTTGAATTCAATGACAGCAAAGGGCCAGCAAGAAGCCTACAGGAGTTACTGAAGTATCAGGGGTGCTCTTCCAAGATGAAGGAAAACTCTGTGTCTTTGGTTAGCTTGTATGGATGGAAGAGATGTCAGTACTTATTGGAGGATTGCAGGGATGGCAGAGTAGGCAAAGAGAAATCCTTCTCTCACTGAATCTGGGCCTGGGAAAAGTTTTAGCTTGGTTCTGGTGTGTGGCGAGACCAAAGGTTCTTTCTTTGCCTTCCATTACATTTGTCCTCAGCCACCCTTGTTAATAAATTATCAACTTCATGTTAAAACAGGAACCAAAACACTTTGATCCTGTGTGTTTAGTCTAGTGAAAACAACCTCAGTGTTTGTATCATTGTTATTGACATTAAAATTACTGTATTTTAAAGAAACATGAGAGTAAATTAGAAGCAGGGCATTATCCAATGAGAAGTTGACATTAAATCCCATCGTCTGATGAGCAGTAATCCTGACTGACAGCACCTGAAATATCTGGCAGTTTCAGAAGCCTGCCTAATCTATTGTGATGGGTCTTCAAATAAGAGAGCATCTCAAGAGCCTGAACAATAATAATGGTGAAAGGCTGCTTGCACCGGATAGTGAATAAAAGACTTACATATGCCTGCGCTGAGATTCCATTGAAAATGAAAACACTGGATCTGTCATACTTTTTCATAATTTATACCATAGATAGTCAACTGCTTTGGGACATAAATACTATAGAGAGAAAATGTTGAGCAATTTGCTGTCAGCTCCTGAAATAAATTATCATTTAAATACCTCCTCTCTGTAAAGGTTATCTTCTTACTGGCTTGTTCTTAGAATTGGACTATCTGTGAGAAATCATGATACATTAAGCTACTCCTTCATATGTTTAATATTAGGTACTGAGCAAATTGTTCTTGCAGGTAGTTTTACTGTATTCTGCTGAAGCAAGAGACTGCTAGCCATTAAGCTCTGCATTTACTAGGACTTAAATACTGTTGCATATTACAGATGTCAAAAAAAACGGAAGAAGCCTATCTGTGGTTTTATGTCATTTACTGAACTACTTCAAGCTAAGCCTATGAGAGTCAGCTTTCCTACGAAACTGTTCTCTTTAGGTAGTGATATTTTTTTCTTCTTCACCACATGGTATAATCATATGGTTAACCCTTTGACATCAATAGACATGACAGCATGATTTCATGTCTCTTGTGGTGCAGAGAATAAAGATGCATCCCAAACAGAGTAAAGTTGAGAAATACAATAAAATAGACAAACAATAATGCTTCTAATTCTGCAAGTAATTGTGTGTGCATTTCATAGCATTTAGACACCTAATTACCTTATTTATTTTCTGAGGCTACTAGGTGCCTAAGTGCTATAAATTGCACCCACAAATATTTATATAATAGGTGAAAAATCTGATGCCATTTCTCAAAAGTGGGAGCTGTGCTGCTAAATCAGGTAACAAAATCTAAGAAAATACAAGACACCTGAAATCCTGCAGCAGAAATGAAAACATTTAAAATGTGTCTGTGGTTTGACTTATACTGCAGTAAAGCCCTTAAATATGAGTGACATTTAAACTCACATGATAACAATTGAAAAAAATTATGCTTTATGGGAAGTCACGGTACATTAGGAAAAATCTGTTAAGGAAAAAGAAGACAATCAGCAATGTATAGTAAAGGAAATGTGTCAGAACATTCATTCTATGCCACGTACCTCATGTCCTTCAAAGGGGAAAAGGCAGGGTTAATTTCTGTTGGGATTAACTCCAATCAATGAATTGACACTGTCTGTTGCTGTCCTGCTTTTATATTGCGCACAAAATATCTGATTAATTAGCTGGTGCTAAATGCCTCAGTAGGCTTCTCTGCAGTAGAACTAAGGCTAATTAAGATCATGTCAGGATGAAATGATGACAGAGTTACAGGCAGAAAGCCATTCTGAACTCAGATAGCATGCATCAAGAAAGCCTCCTTTATGTATTTCACGCTGAGGATTATTTTTCATTCTAAGCATCATGTTTGTTTCTAGTCTCAGTTTCACTGGCGTAAATCAGTAGTTATTCCATTGAAGTCAGTTGGGCTTACACTGGTGTAAAACTAATGTAAGTGAAAGAAGATTCAGGCCTTTGCATTTTAGATTCTCCTTACTTTCATGTGAGAGTTACATGTCTCTTTTATTTAATTATACAGCTAGTGTTGTGGATTGTAATACTGAAGCTTTTGTTTAATCTGAATTTTTAATATGCTTCTTAACTAACGTTTCATTTTATGTTTTGTATCAGAATCACTTGTTTGTATAGTTGGTTTGCTCTCTAAAAGCCTCCAAATTAGGCATGCATTTTTGACCTAAGATCTCACCAGATTTGACACTTAACTATGTAAAAGTATATTTTAACACACAGATGGCGCACTCAAAAATTACCATACACTTTTTGGCACAAACATATTTATTTATGTAATGCAGTTCAGAATCAAGTCATACAGAATAGCCTGTGTACTTGTGGGGGTATCCCTTGCTCCCTTCTTTGAAGGTCACTAGTCAGCTTAGAATGTAAATTCTTTGGGGCAGGGACGCTGTCTTCCTTTGTATAGTGCCTTGCAGCACAAAGGGGCTGCAACCTTGACTGAGGTGCTGGAATGTTAATAAAATATCTGGTCATACTTAGCGGATTTGCACCCATTTAGACTGACTCTGAATTTCACCCATTTGTTGTTTAAGGTCCAGTTTCTGAAGTTAGTAATTTAATTAGGTATCTGTGGATGGAATATCTTGATAAACAAGCGACTCAATAGCTGTTGTCCTATGCATTTTTAAAAGGTTGGTAGTGGATCTGATCACAGCTGGATAAAGGCACAGGCATTATAGTCCTATGCCTAGTGCCACAGCTCCTGGAGTCGCATGAGATCAGAGTCTCAGCTTTCATGTAAAATATAAAATATGTATCTA